CTAAAATACACACATCAGCCATGAGGTGTAAGGATAAATGGCCCACCCCAGACAACTGCCCAGAGGAGCTGGGTTAGAGCTGGGTGTAGAAGAGCAGGTCATAGAATGCAGGTTGACTGAAGAGAAGTTGATAATGGGAATGTGCGCACAGTGGGGCCAGGGGGTGGGAGGTAGCCATGTGAGTCGGGGCCCATGGGGGTCGGGGCCAAGGAGGGACGTTGTGACACAAAGCACAGGTGGTGGTTGGGAGGGCATGCCCCACTTAGGAGTTTCTGCTTTTTGGATTGTAGAAGACTATCAGCTTCCTCGAAAACACATCCAAGGCCTAGAAAAGGCCCCCAAACCCGGCAAGAAGAAATAACAGACTCCTGTTTCATGTGGTTGATCCAGTGGAAATCCAGGCTCTGGGCTGGTCATTTATATGAGCATTTTCAGCTTTTGCAAATGAAAAAATATAATTCTTTACCAAAATAAATTTTTATTCTAATCTAAATCTGATTTCCCTCTGGTTTCCTCCACTCAGCTAGACTGTTAGTGCTACATTTTCAAGTCATACGTCAGTTTACATCAACAGGAGAGGTGGTAGTGGAGTGTCTTTTCTATTCATGTGATTTCAGTGGTTTTAGTTCCTTTCCTGCTTTCGGGGCAGGTGGCTCATCCAAAGCTCAGGCAGGTAGAGCCTTTTGTTTTGAAAGCCCCTCTAGCAAATAGTCCACAGCCTCTTGCTCATCTGTTCCTACCCCCTAATTAATCTCCTTGCCCCAAAAGAGTCCCCTCACATCTCTAAAAAGTTAGTCACCCAGAAGCAGCACTCAGCTGTTCTCTGCCATCAAGCCAGGCCAAAGAAGAAAGGCTTCGCTCTGAATGGCAGCAACATTTTGGCTGGACAGGTAGAGGAAATCATGAAAGTATCTGGATTCCCCTGCACACTTCTTCCCCCACACTGGCACGCTGCCGCCCACAGTAGTAAATCGTGAAGTAGCTTCAAGACGGTGGCTTTGTTACAGGAAAGAGTCTTATCCAACTTTTGGGGGCTCTTGGAAGAAGTCTTCATTTAGTCTTCAGAGAGTCTGTGAACTCCCTGAAATGGTACGCAGGATTTTGTATGCTCATTTTCCCAAGAGAGGTTCCCATGCTTTTGTCATGTGCCCAGCAGGATCACTTGCTGCCAAAAAGGTTCAGAACCACTGCTCTGGTCCCTGCTTAGTTCCTGGGAGTTACTTCTGTGACCAAAGCGCTCCTTGTACAAAAGGAAGGAGTGAGAGCTGAGCTGAATTATTCTAGAGTTTTTTGGTTTTACCATCAAAAAACAATTAGAGTTTACTTTTTTTTTCTTTCTCATCCCCCCTCCCTTTTTTTTTTAATAAATCAAGATAAGAAACACTTGAAAATATCCACACTGTTCACAAATTGCCCATCTGGGGCTAGAAGGGAAGAAAGGGATGGATATGAAAGTGCGTGTGTGACGCTCCCTACCTTTCGTTATTAGACCTAGAATAACAGTCCTTGTCACTTATGACTCGTAAGTAAACTCCTTAATTTTACGAATCCTTTCTCTGCCAGCATGAGCCTATGGAACTGAGGAAGGGATTTTTGGAAATTGACCCCAAACAAGATTCTATGACACAGAACCTTTGGACAGACAGTTTGATCTGAGGGAGTGTGGTATGTATAGTAGTAATGGAATATGGTCCTTATATGAACACAGGTAGCATGTAGTACTTTGTAAGGTTCTTTCACAAACATGATTTACTTGCACGAATCGATTGGAGGCTGAGAGAGGTTGTGTCTCGCTTTGTTGATCTCTGTTAAAGACACAAAGCCAGTAAACAGCAAGGGTGGGTCTAAAATGCACTGCCACTCCTGACTGTGGTTTAACTCAGAGTTCTGCTGTGATCCTGCTGTCAGGACCTGTGCTTTGAATGGTTTTTCCAGTAACAATGACCCATCTGCGCTGACTCACCTTCCCTCTCCTCGTCAGGAACACCATACGCACGTGTAAGAAGGCTGGGGAAGGTCAGGCTGTTGAATGGATTTTTTTTTTTCTCTGTGCTAAGCCCAACCATCTCTTTCAAGATCAAATTAATAACTTTGAACTTAATCCCATGATGTTACCGAATGAGTTGCAGTGAAAAGCAGAAACTGGTTCATGTCCAGGTTTTGGCGAAGTTATTAAAAGACCTACTTCTTGGAGGTCTAGGCGAACAGATGTTACAGACAAGCCCATTCTCGGGTAATTTTAGGAATGTCTATTGGATGGAAGTAGGGAGGGAGCTGGCTGCGCTCTGACCAGCCTCTGCGGCCCAAGGGCCCCCGTTCAGTGCATCACGCGTGCTCCCTCCTGGAAGGCAGGCAGCAATTTCTTCTTAATAACCTTACGTGGTTATTTCTGTGATGACAGAGCTGTTCCTCTGATGGAAGTTAGATAATGCTATTGTGAAAGGACTGTTTCACTCACCTCATCTAGCTTTCCTCCTCTAGGTGAGGTGACCTTAAACTCTCAGAGATGCATCCTATCTGTCTTATTTTTAAATAATTCGACATGGAAAAATCATTGTTCACCTCAGTAGTCTGTCCTGATGCTTAATCATCCTTGGCTCCAGAAAGCCCCTCCTCTCTTCTCTCTCTACAAGGATCTCCTTCTAGAACACATCCCCTTTCCTGTCCTGCTCTGTGGACTAGCTCAGCAGCTGGGCACCTGGGCAGCACCCTCCGGCCCACGCACTTGGACAGGTTTCTCAAGATTGTTTGACCAGCAGCCTTCACTCCTCTGTTCGCTGGCAGGAGAAATTCAGACTCCGTGCAGAAGTACATACTCTTCTCCATTCCCACCCTCTCCCCCAGCTCCCAATTTCCAGGAGGTGGTGAAGGGCAAAGAAGATCTCTCCAGTCTGGGTCATTTTTGCAACAAGCTTTTATTACTTTTTTTAAAACCCATATAAGAAAGACATTTAAAAAGAAAATATCCTCAAAACAAACACGTACACATGGGGCAGCACAAGGACAGAAGGCACTACCAGCCGCCATACCCGCCTCTGGGGAAAGGGGTACTTTATACAGACTGTTCGCCAAGGCTCGGCCCTCAGCATGGGTCCTGGGTCTAACTGTGCTTTAGATAAAGTCAGAATTCTCCATAATTTTCTTATTTCATAAACACCCCTATCTCTTTATATATAGCTATATGCCTTTATGTATATACGTACATGACTTTATTTTCCTTCTCAAAAATAAAATAGCCGCCCCATCAGAGGGAGGCTCTCAGCAGCATTCACAGCGGCTGCAGCAGGAGCTGTGCCTTCCATTAATGTTAAAGACATGCAGCATGAAGGAAAAGGACTCTCTACCTGCTCCCTTTAGTACACAGCAGGGAGAGAGATTTTTTTTTTAAGGGAGAGAAGCAATAAGGCTGAGCATGAGATGGCAGAGAACCAGGGTTCTGGGGGCCTAAAAAATCTTTTTGAGCTGCTAGCTTGTCTTGCTTTTGCAGCTCTGAAGACTACACACAGTTTTGTGACATGGGGGCAGCATTCCTTCTGGGATCAGGGGCGGTGTGGACACAGCAAGGGTTGCGGAGGGGATTTCTGAGGCTACACAAAGAAGCTGGGGCTCAACCCAACCCAGGAAGGACCTGGGAAGGCCGACGACAGCGAAGAAGTGATCTCTCAGAGGCTGAACTGGAAAGCCGGCCCTGCTTTGGCTGTGAAAAGTCCTTCTCCCTCTGCGTTGGAGTGTCTTTGAGGCCTGGCCACTTGCTTCAGTTGCTTGGCGAGTTTATTTTTCAGTTTGCACCCGAACAAGGATCCAGTACAGGTGTAGGCTGGGGATCTGATCCACCTTGTCCATGGGGTTTGACATCACTTATTGGGAGTCAAAGCCCAAGACGTTAGAGGGAAGGAGGTCTGTGACTCTCGCCCCATTCTTGGAGGGAGGGCTCCCCTGGCCTCGCCTCCCACACCACCACGGTCCCCTTCCTGGCAGGAGCAAGCCAGCAGCAAAGCGTCAAGCAAGTGCGCCCTGCTCCCGTCTCTCTCTGAAAACAAAAAGGCACTGAGGTCAGCCGGAGGCCAGCCCACAAGCTCGCGGAGCACAGCGCCACGGGCTGGCCCGGGCTGCGGAACACAAAGGACTCCCAAGTCGGCTGAGTTGGGAGGCTCCCCGTCTGTAATCAAGGCAGCTCTTCTGGCAGCACCTGGAGACTCCAGAGTCCCGGTGGGAGGAAGGAGGCCGTGCGGAAGGCCACGCAGGAAAGGGGGGCAGCCAGGCCCTCCCCTGCTCTCCGGCCAGGGGGAAGGCTGAGGACAAGTTGGACACATTTCTCTGCAATGCTTCTTGGCTTCCTCTGACTGCCTGATTTCCATACTCAGCAGGAGACATTAAAAATGGTAAATGGCTGGTTTCCCTTCGGTGGAAACACTTGAGGATGATGGCAATATGAAACTCCAAGTTGTAACTTAAAAACAAACGCTTGTTGACAAAGAAGTGACGAGGCATCACACACGTGCAGATAAATATATGCCTTTGGGTTTACGTGTGTGCAGACTCTTGAGTGATGAGGGCCAAGGCAGGCTGTTGAGCCCGCCTCAGCTTTGGTGCTCCCTACCTGAGCATCTGGGGCCAGTGGCTTTAGGACCTTCCCTTGAGCATGAACAACGGGCACCTTGAGACAGTGGGGGGCAATCCTCTTACGAGCATTATCCTGCTTTTGGGGGCTTATCCCCGACCTGCTCAAGGAATATGCTACAATTTTTGACTCATAAATAAAGGTCTATGGGTGGCAAATAAGAGAGAAATTGAAGAAGAATAAAAGCCAGAGAAAGAACAGACAGCTCTAAAACCTTTCTTCTTTCCTTTGCCGGCTGGTGCAAACCATTCCAGTTTGGTGATGAGAGAGGCAGCTGGTTGGCTTACTAAGGGCTCACGGATTGCCGACGTCCGAGGCTCTTCTCTCCACCACCCCCCACCAACACCTCCCCCGCCAGTCCTGCTCCTTGGAGGTGGGGAGGTGGCGTGCGGCAGGCGGGGGCCTGGCCCGCGAGCACACGTGTCCCTCAGAGGTTTCGTGCCACATCTGGAACTGCCGGCGGGGGGGGGGGGGCACAGATGTACCCGCCACAGGTGTCCTGAGAAAAAGTGTCTGTTGCAAAATAATAATTAATAATAAAAATAAATCCGCGGGCACCAGAAGAGGAAGCAGGACCGGTTAGCCAGGTTTGCCCTGGGATTCTCTTAAGGCCTCCTCCAGTTTCTGCCTAAACTTGTCAAATTTCTTTTGCACTTGTTGGATTTTGTCTTGCTCCTCCTTTTCCAGGATTGTTAGGAAGTTCTGAAGCTCGGGGATGGAGAAGGCGTCCCACTGTGAGGCATGAGGGAGATGGGGGGGAAACAACAGGAGACAGGTCAGAAGCCGCCCGACCTGAGGGCCTCCCCCAACCCCCGCTGCCTCCATCTGCACACAGCTTACACAGGGTTTGCTACTGAACAGACAGCTGCAGTGGAGAAAGCTTGGGTTTCCCGTGTCATACTGGCAACCAAATTTCAAATCCTGACATCTCATGAGCCAGAGGTACCAGTCCATGAGCGGTGTTTTATTTGGAGCATCAACCATCTTACATTTTCTCCATGGCAGCTGAGGCCTGAACAGTGATGCTGGGGCCGCCCAGGGCCCCTGCCAGCCTGTCTGGCTGTCTGCTTTGGGGGTGCTGAGCGACAGGCTCTTAGCATGCAGACCCTCAAGAGGCAGGTGGAGGAGAGTTGGGCTTGGCCTCCGGAGACGGGGTTTCAGGCCAACTCTACCGCGTGACCTTGGGCACATCACCGCACCCTTCTGTCCTGCGTGCTCATCTGCCACGGAATGAGGGTCCCTGCCTCCCTTGGCTGGCAGAGCAGCTAAGGAGATCCCAGAACCTGTAAAGCTCTGGAGAAGCCGGCTGGCCCAGGCCTGCCCCGATGGGACCTGGCCTCTCGGGACAGAAGGCAAGTCTGACCGCTCTCAGGCTGACCCAGGAGCAGAGCCCCTCCAGCCCTCACCACCCCACCCTGTGGAGCCAAGGATTTTGACTCCTAAGCTCTTTTGAGCACAGAAGAATATGAAGGCTTACCTAGTTTAATCCCCACACTGCCTAACTGAGAAGACTGAAGTCCACAGACGGGACGCAGCAGACCTACGGGGACGGGGCTTGCGGCAGCAGAAAGGGAATTAGGGCCCGGTCTCTAAACTCCCAGGCCCACGAGCTCTGTGCTGGGCCCGCGGTGTCCAAACACTGTCAGCAGAGTACGTTTTTCAAACAAAATCTTACGCACTGTAATGTATAAATCAGATGGAAGCAGAGCTGCCTGATCGAAGCGGGAAGAAGGAACAGGGCCCTACCCTGCCTGGATCCCCCAGATCTCCACACAGTGACCCCAGAGACTGCTCCCCCAAACCCTAGGCCTCCACTGACTGCAGTGTGACGAACAACTGCCCTCGGTCACTCCTCCATGCCTCCCAAGTATCCCAGGCCACGCGGAGCACCAGCCTGATTCCACCCGACTCCGTGCCACCAGACTGGACTCTGATGAACTCCCCTTTGAGGAAGGAGGCCAGCTTTTAAGAACCAGGAAGAGACAAATGGCTCGAAAATCTCCATATCCAGTGGAGGCCAGAGATGGAGCTGGTGGGGCCTCAGGCCAGCCTGGAGCAAAAACAGCCCGGGGCCTGGACACAGGCGTTTCTCAGTGCCCCTCCACCCTGGGTTTTCAGGGAAAAAAAGCACACGAAATCCTTTCTTTCCACAGGCCATGCCAGACACAGGCCCTGACTTGCTCCCCCAGGATGCTGACAATCCTGGCTTTAGACGCGAAACCTCTGCGGCCCAGCACTTCCCCGGGCCTCAACTTTCCCAGGCCATTTTCCCAGCTGCCTCGGCTACTGCCGCGTGGCCCCCACCTATGCCAGCGGTGAGGACAATGCCCACCTGCACCCAGCCAGGGTGCCCTGAGGGCTGGGTTCTGGCACCAAGCAAAGGGGCCCAGACCTACCTCCACCTCTCCGGTTTCATTCTCCTTGAGCACGAAGCTGAGGACGTCATTGTCAGGCCCGGCGAGCAAGCGCAGGTAGAGAGGGCAATCAGCAATAGAGAGTTTCTGGAAAAACACTGCAAACCAAGAGAGGAGGCTGGAGGCGCATCTCGGAAAAGAGGGGCAGGGACCGGAAATGCAGACAAGGGGTGGCCATAACGGGAAGGAGCCGTCCTTTCAGCCTAATGAAATGAATCTGATGACATGAATAGGGCATGATGACCTTTTATCTTCGGTGTCTGCCCAGAGTTTGACGCATGTTTCCATTCACATCACCCTCCCCAAAAGATTAGGAGTGGTGGGTGGTTTCTCTCCCATGCCACAGATTAGGAAGTGGGAGCCCACGTTGTGGTTTCCTGCAGTCACATATAAAGTGGGGGGCGCGGGGAGCAGGCATCAGCTTCCCGTCCAGCTCTCTGCCACATGGCTGGACGGCGGCACCCTGGGGAAGCCCAGCCCTCCCCTCCCAAGTCTGGCAGGGGTTTAGCGGGAGAGGTGGTCTCTGACGGGGAGCTTGCCCTCGCATACCTTGCCCGTCCTTGTGTATCCGCTTAAAAAGTGCAAACTTCTGGGGATTGTCCACAACCATGAACTTCTTGAGCAGCCCCTGGATGACCTCGCTGACCGTGGTGGTGCTGCTGATGTGTAGCTGCTTGATGGCATCGAGTGGCAGGTAGAAGGATGTCCGCTTGTCGGTGGTGGCTGCCAGGTTCACTTCCTTGATGGCATCATAGATGGACTGGGGCCGGATCCCCGCAGGCACCGTCACCGGCCGCCGGAGCTTCAAATGCACTTTGATGAAACCCGTGTAGGTACCATCTTCACTCTGCGGAGGGGATGTCATATGGGTCAGCTCAGGTCTATCTTGCATGATCCCATCTGCCACTCTGAGCCACTGCACCAGGTTTGGGGGAGGGGGTGCATAGGCCTTTCCAGATAGTGCCATCCCAGGCAGGCCCCCCGCTTCCGCCCCGAGTTCCTTCCTGTCTCTGCAGACCTGCGGGTGCCAGAGGACAGAGACACTGTCCCCCCGTCCGCCCCACCTTGGGCCAGGAGAAGGCTTGCAGTATCCAGCAACCCGAGAGGACAGGAGGAGCTGCTCTGGCTTTCCCTCCCAGGGCTCAGGGTCCCTGCCCCAGTCCCCTGCCTTTGCTGAGTCCCCGCTCCTAGGAGGCAGGGTCTGGAGTGGCCTCTCTAGTTTGTCCCTCCAAACCGGGGAGGAGCAGGAAGGCTCTGTAATGAGGTCCTCAGAAAACCAGCCCACTGCATTTCCTCCTGCATCTCTTTCCAAAACGCGGCAGCCTGCAAGACTTAAGCCCAGGACCATGGGAGACTGCATTTTCTAGCGCCCCATCTGGCTGAAGCCCCAGAGAGCCAGTTGCCAGCAGCCACCAGCAGGGGGCAGGGTTCTTCTACCTTCGCCCCGTCCCACTGCAGATGGCCTTTGCGAGACTCCCCTCTCGGAGCTCTGCAGTCCGGGGAAGCTTCCCCAGATGCAGGCAGTAGAAGTGCACCAACCAAGAGGGAGAAGACAGGAGCTGCGAACTCCCCTCATGAGGCCTTCCTGGGGGCCGAGCAATACCAGTTCTTGAGGTCTTTGTACGGTACTTAATCCCCACAAGAGCTCCGACAAATGGGCACTGGTATCTCTATTTTACGCCAGAAGCTCAGGGAAGTTAAGGTTTCCCAAAGCGAAAAAGGGGACGAGCCAGCGACTGACCTGGATCTTACTCTAAAGCCCATTGTGTTTCCCCGCAGCCCGCGGGGGTCCCTCAGGGCCTCGCACAAGCCCCGAGGCCTCCCGAGGCCTGAAGAAAGGGGAGGGGCCTCCGCGGGGCCGCCC